CACACTTAGGTTGCAAGTGAAAACGTTCTGATGAATTGGTTTGAATTTTCTAATGGGGCACTGGAGAGGTCCTTGTTCGGGAAATGAATGAGTCAGGAAACAATCCACGAATGCCCCCCTGGTTGACATTCATCTGTACGAATGTCACCCACCCAGAATAGTGCTCATTAATTGTTTCCCTTGCGGTTTGACACTTATGTTGTGAGGTGTAAAGGTTTTAAACTAACATTCTAAATGAGGTATCGAGGACAATATACGAAGAGATGGGGAAACACACATAATATCAGAAGGCAATTCATGGACAGGCAGCTGTCCTGCCACACAGCTCCACCTTAACCACAAGCTGGCATACATAGTCTGATCCCAACGGATCAGCTTGGGGATGTCTGGGGGAGTGCTCACGGATCACTTCTCTAGGACTGTCTGTCCTCACAACTCGTCGGCATTCCCGTTTTGCTTATCTATAATGAATGCTGGTCTATAATGAATGGTGAAGTCGTAGAGCTGTAGGGCAAGGCTCCACCGTAACAGCCGGGCATTGTCTCCAGAGGCCCTAGGTTGCACTTACTGGGCTTTAGCGTTAATCCTGTCTAGTACAGCTCCTACATGAACCAGATGTTCCTCCCAAGTGTCGCTGTATATGGCAATGTCATCCATGCACAGGCATAGTCCTGGAGGCCCTTCAACAGCCAGTCCACCATCCTCTGGAAAGTGGCTGGGGCGTTCTTCATCCCAAATTGCATTACCCTAAATTGGTACAGACCAAATGGGGTGAGGAAGGCCGACTTGGGAACAGCATCTGCCGCTAGGGTAATCTGCCAGTACCCCTTGCACAGATCTGTCATGGTGAGGTACCGGCCACGAGCAATCCTATCCAGCAGCTTGTCTATATGGGGTATGGGGTATGCATCCGATACCGTCTTGTCGTTTAGCCTCCTGTAGTCTACACAGAACCTCATGGCTCCGTCTTCAGTACTGGGACTACTGGGGAGGCCCAATGTCTATTGGACGGTTTGGTGACCCTGATCTCTTGAATCTCCTGATGCATACTCTCCTGCACCGCCTCTGGTACTCGGTAGGGTGTCTGCTGCAGAGGTTGCAAGTTGGGGGTCTTTACCCTGTCGGTGGCCAGTGAGGTATACCCGGGCAGGTTGTAGAATGTCACCCTCTTTGCAGTCAGCATTTGCTGTGCCTGTCTGGGTTCCCCCTCGGTTTTGTTGGTCCACCAAGCGGACCTCCACTATATATAGGAGGTAATCCTGCCAGATGGGTTTCAGAACCAAAACCTTTTAACTGACTTGAAAGCTCCCCCTCTCCTTCCCAGTGCTCCCAGACAAGGTCTAGGTGCCCCCTAACCCTCCGTCCGAACATTAGTTCAAATGGGGAGAATTCTGTAGATTTCTGAGGTACCTCCCTATATGCAAACAGGAGATGCAGCAGGAATCTCTCCCAGTCTTTGTGAGTCACTGCAATGGTTTGGAGCATTTGGTTGAACGTGCTTTGAAGCGCTTGCACAGGCCATTCGTCTGGAGGTGATATGGGGAGCTTAAGATCGATTTGAAGCCGCATAACCTCCACAGCTGGTTAGTCATCTCAGCAGTAAACTGGGAGCCCAGATCCGAGAGGATCTCCCGGGAAAAACCCATCCAGGAGAATACTCGCATCAGAGCTTCGATGTCAGGATTCGAACCTGGAAACTTGGCGGTCCTGGGTCTGCTTTCTAACATTGAGCCACAGCAGCTTTGTTTAACTTTAAGCCATTCCGGTCCTGTTCTTCCTGGCTTGTCTACAGCACTGGGGGCTGTACCTTGACTACTGCTGTGCTTCACCTGACACTGATCAGACCTCAGCAGGGTACATAGACTCAGCCTCGCCCTGTAATCTGGATCAAGTCTTTGATCTTGTTGTGTGTGTTCCATACCAGTGTTCCTGTCTATTGTTACTCTGCTTCATATTGACTCCGGCTTCTGACATCGTTTACTCTGACCTCTGGCATCCCTTGACTTTGGCTACTCCTCATTGTTCCTGTCCTCTGGCATCCTTTGACCTCAGCTATCCCTTGACAATCCTGATGTTTGTGTCCTTGCCTGCACTGCGCTTGGAACTTCATTGTGCACAGCCCCCATGCATAGACCCACAGGCCAGGTGAATTCTTACCTGACCACCTTGGCCTGTGGCTATTTGCAACGGTGAGCAACATATATGCGCTACAGACTCCCAACCCAGGTAAGACCCTGACATTCGGCCACAGTCTCAGCCTGAATGTTGCTCAGGATGACTGCCTCAAGGTACCGAGTCGCGTAGTCCACAATGGTCAGAATATACTTCTTCCCAGAGGGGCTAGGCTTAGCCAGGGGACCTATGATATTGACATCTACTCTGTCAAATGGGTCTTCGATGATGGGGAGGTGCGGGAGCTTGTCTTGTACTGATCAACCCACTTCCCCACTCTCTGGCAGACATCACAGGTCTATTAATACTACCTCAGATTCTTCGAGATGCCTCGCCAGAAGAAGCTTATATCACCCCTTTATTTGTGAGAAGTGAAGACCCAAGCTGGCTGAGTGTGATGGTATTTGCACTCTGCCAGACTGAAGTCCTGATTTGTACTTTGTATCAATTGCATTCCAGACACAGTGCCAGAAAGTAGCAGGCAGAGGGAATGATTTCACGATCCATACACACAGCAATACTAGCTCTGTGTCTACTGATCTAACAGCATAACAATCAGGTGAAATTGCGTTCCACTGATCACCTAGCAACCAAATGGAACGCAGTGCCTAGCAACTACGGTTGAAGCACTCTGATCAGCTGTTCCACGTGCAGTTTGAACGCCATTTCGGTTCTCTCACATATGAAGCTGGTTAGTATCCTTTTATGTTTTGCTATATAAGTATTTTATATGTATTTGTGCATTGTATTGCCATCCTGATGAAAGCCCATGTATTGGGGTTGAAACGTCGATATTTTTTTTATATGATATAGAATAAAAGTTATATTTTATTTTTACTATCAACAAGTCCTTGGAGTGCGGTCATTTCCAATCATTTATATATATATATATGTGCAAGCTGAAGGCAAGCCATTAAGAGGAAGTAAGACACCATTAAGAGGTGTCTCATCTTGGGATGGCCAAGTTACTTTAAACTTGTTATTGATTCTATTTCAATAGAGCATTTATTGTTGTTGAATCTTTTTTTATATATATATATATATATATATATATATATATATATATATATTTTCACATTGGGGCTAGGAGAATTGGCCTTGGCAGCGCATAAGATAGATTAATATAGGAGAGACACCGCTCCTTCAGTAGACATTAGTGATGTCCCGAATGGTTCGCCGAACGGTTCGCGAACGGTTCACCGCGGACTCATCATTGAGTAAACTTTGACCCTGTACCTCACAGTCAGCAGACACATTCCAGCCAATCAGCAGCAGACCCTCCCTCCCAGACCCTCCCACCTCCTGGACAGCTCACTAAGAATGCAGCTTCACAATGAATGTAAAATGGATGCTGTTCAGGAGGTGGGAGGGCCTGGGAGGGAGGTCTGCTGCTGATTGGCTGGAATGTGTCTGCTGACTGTGAGGATCAGGGTCAAAGTTTACTCAATGATGAGTCCGTGGCGAACTGTTCGGGACATCACTAGTAGACATGAATTAATGCCTCTTACAATACTGAAATTAAATGGGCTGAAGGACATTATATACACAGGCTATCCTGAACTCACCTCATATTGAAGACACACCTGTAAACTCAAGGCTAGAATGATAGAAGTTATGGTATATATGCAATATTAAACTTGTGCTCAAATGCATTGCACACATCACACCTTATTTTATCCATGCACAAACAAATCCATTAATGCAGGATTTACCAGTGAAGTCTTATTGACAGAAAAAATAAAAAAACTCCACAGGTAAATCCCAGGTGGATTAATTCATTTGATTTGTGCACAAATCTAATAAATACAAATACATATTATGCATATACAGTGATGGAAAAAAGTATTTGATCCCCTGCTGATTTTGAACGTTTGCCCACTAACAAAGAAATGATCAGTCTATAATTTTAATGGTAGGTGTATTTTAACAGTGAGAGACAGAATAACAAAAGAAAATCCAGAAAAGCGCATGTCAAAAAGTTATAAATTGATTTGCATGTCAATTAGTTAAATAAATATTTGATTGGCAAACTTCAGACGGGCCTTTACATGTGCTTTCTTGAGAAGGGGGAGTTTTTCAGACCTTCACTGCGTAGTGTGTTACCAATTGTTTTCTTGTCAACTATGGTCCTAGCTGCTTTTGAGATCATTAACCAGATCATCCTGTGTAGTTTTGGGCTGATTTCTCATCATTCTCATGATCATTGAAACTCCTCAAGGTGAGATCGTGCATTGGGGGAACAGACCGCGGGAGAATGACAGTTGTTTTGTGTTTCTTCTATTTGCGAATAATCTCACCAACTGTTGTCACCTTCTCACCAAGCTGGTTGACGACGGTCTTGTAGCCCATTCCAGCCTTGTGTAGGTCTAAAATCTTGTCCCTGACATCCTTGGACAGCTCTTTGTTCTGGGGCATGATGGAGAGTTTGGAATCTGATTGATTGATTCTGTGGACAGGTGTCTTTTATACAATGAATGAGCTAAGATTAGGAGTACTCCATTTAAGACAAGGCTGTCATGTTTCTGAGCAGGTCAGAGAGGAGATTTATGCCGGGGTTTACTTGAGGTTCTTTATTTTGAACTTTAGGCATGTTTAGACAAGGAAACAATAAGAGTACAGTGGGACCTCGGTTTCCAAAATTAATGCGTTCTCCGGGATGTTTCGTATTGAGAAACATTTGTAAACCGAAACACGGTTTCCCATAGGAATGCACTGAAAACCAATTAATGTGTTCCGGAGGTGAGAAAAAAGTCAAATAAAGTATTTTATCTGTTCAAAACTCTTTATAAAGTGCACTTTAAAGGCATAAATACTGTACAGGGACATGATTAATCAGCAATAACATCCTCCACCAGCTCGTAGACATCCTCCTCAGTTTCCTCCAGGCCCATGGCCCACCCCAAGGAAACAATTTCCTCCAACACTGTTGACTCTGGTGCAGGTGCAAAAGCACTGGAGGCAGGTTTCACAACACAGTCTGGCCACATGTTGCGCCAAGCAGAATTTAGGTTTGTCTGGCTGACCCCAGCCCGGGCAATGGTGATAATCTGCAGAAAGCTCACAATGTCAAAATGCTCTCTCCAAAATTCATGGAGGGTGAGGGTGAGACGGTCCTTCATCGGCTTGTGGCCAGGCAATGAGATCTCCTGTTCTGTGATGAAGGTACGCTTTGTCATCCTCTTCCAGAAGAGTCCAGTGTCGTCGCAGTTGAAGACCTGCTGAGGAAGGTAGCCTCCTGAAACTATGACCTCCAGGAACTCCGTAGCAAATTCCTCAGCTGCAGCAATGTCGGAACTTGCAGCCTCTCCATGCATGACCACACTGTGGATGCCAGATCTGGTCTTGAACCTTTCGAACCACCCCTGCTGGCCTTGAAGCCTTCTGCATCTGCTGACGTTCCTGGCTGTTGTTTGAGGAGGTCAGCATGCAAGGCCTTGGCTTTTTTCGCAGATGATCGCCATGGTCACTGAGTCCCCTGCATGCTGCTTCTGTTCAATCCAGAGCAGGAGCAACTTCTCGACTGCCTCTAGAACAGGTGGACGTTGCTTGGAGACCCTGGTGACTCCCTTGGCTGCATCTTTTCCAGTTATCTTCTCTTTCGTTTTTAGGATTGTACTGATTGTGGATGCACTCCTTCCATACTCTTTGACGAGGTCAGTCAATCGCATTCCTCCTTCATGCTTCCTGATGATTTATTTCTTGTCCTCAAGCAGAATCATCTCCTTCTTCCTCTTCCCAGCTTCCGCTGCTTTCTTGGGTGTCATGACACCACCGTCACTAAGTATGCAAAAAAAAAATGCTTTTGCACCCACATGAGCTGGCATGGAAACCACAGTAAAAGGCAGGCACAGCACATGAGCTGTAACAGGCATGCACAGCACATGAGCTGGCATGGAAACTACAGTAAAAGCCATGCACAGCACGAGCTGTAACAGGCATGCACAGCACATGAGCTGGCATTAAAAACAACCCCACATTGCAAAACACACAGTACAGTACTGTAACAGGCGTGCACATCACATGAGCTGGCATGGAAAGCAAACCCACAATGCAAAACACACAGTAACAGGCATGCACAGCACATGAGCTGGCATGGAAACCACAGTAAAAGCCATGCACAGCACATGAGCTGTAACAGGCATGCACAGCACATGAGCTGGCATGGAAAACAACCCCACATTGCAAAACACACAGTACAGTACTGTAACAGGCATGCACAGCATATGAGCTGTGACAGGCATGCACAGCACATGAGCTGGCATGGAAATCACCGCACAATGCAAAACACACAGTAAAAGGCATGCAAACAACTAAGCTCAGCTCCCTACCTTTCCACCTCTTGAGATGCACCAAAAAGGCTCCAAAAACTTGTTCAAATGGCTCCAAAAGGCTCCAAAACTTGCTGCAAATGGCTCCAAAACTTCTATAACACCTCCACACTCCACACTAACGTGCCACTCAGACTCCAGTATGCAGGGGCGGAGCTATAAACCAGAACACTTGTTTCATATTGCGAAAAAAAAAATCGTAAACCGAGGCATTTTTTTTTTACGAATTCTCATTCGTAAACAGAAATTTTCATTTACCGAGGCATTCGTTAACCGAGGTTCCACTGTAACAGGATATAAAGGGAAAAGGAACAACAAAGACAGAGGGTGAGAGCAGAACCTATAGGTAAGTATAATAGTAAGAGGAAAACCTATAAGTGAAATAATAGGTTAGGGGGAAGAAGGAGTGGTTATAGAAATAATGCCACATGAGAAATAAGAAGTTAGGCAATATGCCCCAAGTAGCTCATCAGGTAACAGGTATTATAAGAGAGGAAAGACCTATAAGAGAAATTATAGGTAAGAGACAAACAATATATAATAGAACAGAGATAAACAGAATATGAAAGTATAATGAAATCAGGTTAAATAGACATTTAGTAAATCAGAGTCCTTTGGTTGAAGGCAGTAATGCAGTTATAGATAATTGCAGTAATGTTACTCAGGATTGAAGTAATCAAGTATGGATAGTCAGTATTATCCAGGTAAGTTGTGATGGATCCGGTTAAATGTCCAATAGGACAAAAGCAATAAGGTACATTGGTATTAAAAGTCCAGTAAGAATTAAAGCAGGGTGATATTGGTGTTCAGGTTTTGTTTTACAAAGCTTTTTTGAGAAGAGCAGACTGGAAACAAGCAGGTTTGATGAGTAGATCAAGATGGTTCAAAGTAAATCAGATTTGATCAGGATTTTCTGTATGAGCCAGGAGCAGAAGACTTGTCAGGTTCAGAACAATAACTTCTCTCATTGCGAAGGCCGTTTGGTTTAGTCGGGTGTGGCCTTTTATAGCATAGTTCAGGTGATTATTTTAGGCAGGTGTGAGAGACTGAGGATCGTCTAGTTTTTAGAGAGGCAACTTGTGGTGGAAAACTGGTATTATAATAAACTAAAATAGAAGAAAAAGAAACATATCCCTTGGTTGTCAGGATAGGATCCTGACAAGTGCTCCAAATCTCAACTTATTACCTATATAAAAGACACCTGGGAGCCAGAAATCTTGCTGATTGATAGGGGATCAAATACATATTTAACCAATTGACACGCAAATCAATTTATAACTTTTTTGACATGCGTATTTCTGGATTTTCTTGTTGTTATTCTGTCTCTCACTTAAAAAATACACCTAACATTAAAATTATAGACTGATCACTTCTTTATCAATGGCAAACATTCAAAATCAGCAGGGGATCAAATACTTTTTTCCCTCACTGTATTTTGCAGTATACCGATAGGAGCATTTTCCCACCATTGGTTCACAGATCAAGTGATAAAAGTAACCAATAACAGGAAAAAAGGAAAAACACAAAAAATAAATCTCTCGCTTTCTATATATATCTATAAAATAAATATAATTTTTTTTACCACTCTTTTTCCTTCTATTGGTCAATTCTCACTCTATGAATGAAAAAAAACATGTTTGTCTATTACACTAATTCTTTGCTTGGTTATACGCCCATATGATGCTTTGCAGATAAAGGCTTTGGTTGTTCTGCTCATCACCCTACATTTAGGTGAATTTAATTTTGCACAAAACCAAATGCACAAGTTTATTGAGTGTAGTTAGCTAAGTAATTTCCCGTTTTAAAATCTGATGTAAATTTTTGTTTTGTATTCAGATTGGGATTGGGATTTCTGCTTCTTTTCATGGAGTTAATGTATTTAAACAGTTTTGAGATGTATGCATTTGATCTTGGTCTTGTTTCTTATTCTCTGTTTTTCCTTCTCTAAAACTTCAAAACTGTTGTTTCCATGACATTGATGAAACTTATGTATGGTGGAACAAAAAGTTTTAGTGGAATAGTGTTTAGTGGAAATTGCTTTTCTATGTATGTTCTGTTAGTTGGTTTTGTGGACTGAGGGGTGAAGAAAAGGAATCTAGATAAGACAAAGTTTTGTGAAGATATTTATTGCTAGGCAGAGCAAAGGATGGTGGGGTAGGGGTAGGGTGAAGGTAGACAATTGCACAACTAAATGTATTAGGCAAAATATTAAGAACTTTATGTTTATGCAATATTGGTGAAGTACATGCAATGAAAATAACAGTGAATATAAAATAAAAACTGAAAGTGAAGTCTGAAACTACAGGTAAAATGGTAACATTGATCTAGTAAAAATAATAATATGGTGACAAAGGTAGGTGTTTCTTCCCATTTTCAATTTTGAGAAAGTCTATTAAACGGACGAAACATATTTACCGACACTGCATACAAGGACTCCAGGATCAGCTTAAGTGAAGGTATCTCTTCTTCCCACAAGCCTTTGAAATTTCCTGGGCTATATTTCGTATGGAGGTGGGACTCATAGAACTTACTGAGACTTCACAACTGCACCTCTCCAGCGATAAGTGGCCCAACTGCAGGCAATGCTTATACTGCACAAAATTTATTTGTGCCATTTTATCCTGTGAGTGTCAGTTTTGCCATATGTTGTATATTTGTTCACATTAAACACTACACTATAAGTTTTTTCTTTCTCTCCCTTATTTCTATTTTTATATCTCCCCTTGTATTGCAATTACATTGGGAGTATTTCAATTTAGATGTATATTTTCTACAAATAACAGGTATGTAATATTATTTTTTCACATTGGGTTGTGTGTGCAGCACTAGCATGGTTTGTTTACGCCACGGATACAAAATATTATCTATAAAATGGTAATATTGTTCTACTAAAAATAATAATATGGCAACAAAGGTAGAATAAATCAGGTGGTGTTTCTTTCAAGTTTCAATCAGTACCGTAAATTGGTGGAAATTGTGTTTCTCTGTATATTCTGTTATTCATGTTTGTGAATTGAGACCTTAAAGATGCAGGAAAGGTTCTGCTAGCTGGGTTTACATTTCTTCCCCGAGAGTGTTATGCACATTTTTCTCATATTTTATAGTCAATGGATATAGATAGAAGAGATAACAATAAATTCCTAGAAATAACCAATTTGAGCCTAAGTGCTGAATATTTTTCACTTTGCACTATTGTAAGAAACTCAGTTATCACTATAGATATTACTGTCAATCACTGTCACATTTCTCCATTTCAAAGCACTTTCTGAATTTCCTTGATAAATTTCATTTTAAAACACATTTTAACAATGCTTTATTAAAAATTGCTCTTTACATTATTTTAAATGTAAAGTAATGTTAGTCCCATTTCTATGAATATACGATTTTTGCTTCCTGCAAATTCTAACAAATACATTTGACTTATGCTTTTATTTTTCTTTGGCTTACATATATGAGGTATTTTTTTCAACAGTTTTATGAAGAAAATATTTTAAAATGCATTAAACATAAAGAAGCAAAAAAAGTAAAAAAAAAAAAAAAAAACATGTAGGAGAAACATTGCTAATGGTGTCTAAATAGAAACATATGCCTCCCTTTGGAATTTTCAGATACAGGATGAATTAAATATTGAATTTTAATTGATTTATATTATTGTGACATATAGTAACAATATGTCAGTGTGTTCTTTGTAAAATGAGATGACATGAAATTACTTAAATGCATTTTTATTGCTGCGTTTTTTTACACCTATCTCTCCAGAAATTATTTGTATAAGGAGGAAAAAAGATATGACCAAAATATAGTGTAGTATGTAAGATACACATTTGAAATATGTGTGTACTACATAATTATACACTCAAATTCATTAGTGCTGTATCAAACTTGGCTCAAGGTAGAAAAACGTCTGATGCTTTAAAAGGCGGCACCCAACTTCTCTGAATAAATGTACATTAATCTCAGGAAACAGACTCTGGCCTGCATCAAGT